AGCCACACCCAGGCAGGTTCAAAGGTCAAGGCTCCATCGACACAAAGAAAAAGCAAAATAATTGTAAAAACACCGCCAAACGTGACAGATATATATATATATATATATATATATATATATATATATATATATATATATATATATATATATATATATATATATATATATATATACATATATATCAAGTGCCCACAACATACACACATCAAGATTCTTCTCTTTGCTAAGGATCAACTAACATCACCAAGATATCCAAAGCAGAAGACAAAATTAAGTGTAGTAACATAACATACAGTGTGTCAAGGGTGAGATGACTGGTAGAGGAACCTGGTGTTGCACCACCACTTTTATAGCCAGCAGTACCTGTGTACCTTGTGACGTACGACATACGCACATTGTAACGGAGTACAAATGTTCATTATGACCTGGTACAAATATTTGCTATGACGAGGAACAGGTGTACATTGCGACGTGGCAGAGATGCTCTGTGACGTACTACAGTCGTACATTGTTACGGAATAGAGATGTACTGTATACTGTGAAAATCAAGTGTTCGTTAGTAAAGAGAAGTACATCGTGACCACCAGTGTACACAAACGTACTGTACACCTCAGACACAACTCTCACCATCACCTGACTTAGCAAACCATCGACAACAAACGAATTTCACTAAAGAACAATTTATAACTTTTTTATATAATTTAATTAATTGAGATTTAAATTCAGATATTATTAATTAATTCTTTAGACGAGAAAAACTTATTTTCTACGGTTGACTATGTTTTAAACAATATTTTCATCGGGTTATAAGACATTTTAAGCGGGTTTAATCAGTGCTTCAGTATTTCACTATACAGTAAGTTTAAGTTTTCATGCTCAATGTTTTTTAAATCTTTATTCAGTGGATATATTATATATATATATATATATATATATATATATATATATATATATATATATATATATATATATATATATATATATATATATATATATATATATATATATATATATATATATATATATATATATAATGTTTCTTAAAAAAATTGGGTGAACTTAAGGGAAGAATTTTGTAATGGCTTCCAAAAATGTTTGTAAAGTGCTGAAGAGTTTTATTAACGTTTAGAGATGTTTAATATAAATTTTATAATAAGATGATGACAACTCTAAGAAGAGAATTAAAATTTCTTATATAAATATAGAATGAAACTCAAATTTTGTAGACTTTCAATATTTTGTTCTACATTTCAATACGCACAATGCTTCACCAAGTCAAGACGAATAAGAATTGTATAAAAATATAATAACAAAAATAAAGGAATGAAAATAAATGTATAATGGGGTAGTCTATCACTTGCATATCGACCATGAACCAGACAGTTTCAGAGACTAAAGAATTTAATACTCGTGTACGACATAATGGACTTCTTCCCCTGATATTATATTTTATTAACTTAAAAGTCTCAACTTCATTTTTGGGTTAACTTAGTCGGACTTGCTTTAATTTTGAATTTGCTTAAGATTGATAGTGTTCTTTGCAAAATCTTGTGTGTCTGACACTTCATACAATATAGTGAGAATACTCAGTTGTTCCCTAGTGATAATATTCTGTTTCCTGTTGATAATACTCTGTTTCCCGTTGATATTCCGTTTCCCGATGATAATAATGCACTTACTGTTGATAATATTCCTATTTCCTATTCCCGTTGTGATAACATTTTAATTCCATTTTTTTTTCGAATATCAATTAGTAGGTCAGATCATATAAACATAATCAATATATAAATCATTCTAAGTCACGCTCATAAGTAATAAACAACAAATAAACAAATAAATAAACACATCACAACATTCCTAACATTCTGGTTGATGTTTGGTTAATTTCTATTTTTGTTTATCTTGTACGAGAGACTTCAGTTACCAGAATTATTTTCACCAGTTTCTTTTTGTATTAGTGATGTACAGGCGACTCCTTGGAATCTCTACGATCTTGGAAACAGGGAGAGGGGAGGGTGAGAGGGGGTAAAGAGAAAAATGAGAGGGAAGAGAGGGAGGTTGGGATGGGAGAGAAAGGATGGAAATGAGAGGGAGGATATGAAGGGAGCAAGAGTAACGGAGGAAAGAGGGGGTGCAAGTGATTGGAAAGGAAGGCAGAGAAGAATTGAATGAGAGGAAGAATGAAGGATGGGGGATAATTACAGCCTAAATCATTCCCCAATTACCTAAACAATACAGAGTTAACCCAATGTAATCAATATACCTTTTGTCTTGTTTAAGTTCACTTCCGGGTACAGTTAACTTGGCTTAAGCTGTTGATTAGTGTCATGGGAGGTAACGAGTAATTTAAGCCTCACCACGCCTCCAAAACTTTCATGACTCCGAGATCACACAAGACAAACACTTACTTAATCATAATAACAGCACTTAAAGGGGTCATTCCTGATGTTAAAAATGTCAAAATTACACTGGACCATTGACGATCATAACTGTTAATTAACACGGGTTGCTCAGTACCTTATATAAACTATGGTATAATAGAGAGCTGGTGACACCTTTCATATTACAGCTTCAATTCAGGTGTTGTGTAGCCGCCCTTCCCGTACACAGGTGTAAATTAACTAAGCGTACAATCAGGAACGAGTCTCCGATATTTATTATTATTATTGTTATTATTATTATTATTGTTAGTATTAGTATTAGTATTTTTATTAGTATTAGTATTAGTATTCCTTCTATTATTTGTCTTATATATAAATATGTTGTAAGAAATTTGCCAACCTCATTTTATTTAACTATCATTTAAGGTCCTGCTTTGCTACACTGTATACAGGTATAAGTATTTGCTTCATTACATATGTTTGTACTTGAGGTGTCACTGACATTCACAACAAATATATTCCCGCACGACAATATTCTTCAATTGTTGTCATTTATAATGTATTCATCTTTATCGTATAATTTAATCACCAACCTAATGAACGCCTTTATGAAATCTCTCTGAAAAATTACATAAACACGACAGAACTAATCCCTGGTTTTTACATAAAGTTACATCTGAGTCGCCCAACAAAGCGTATCGGCGTAACGCGCCACAGAATAACACGACACCCCGTATTACCACCTGAATTTCTGGAAAACGATTAATAATTACGCTTCAACGTGGTTAAAGGCACTTCAAGACTGACCTTCATTATCTCGCCATATCCACTCATATAGTGTATTTCGATGTTCAGACTTAGGGTACATTTAACAAGTGAACCTGTGTCAGCGAACGCGCCTACGACAGCAACCTTGATTTGACGGTCCTTACTTACTGGGAGACTCACGTAGAGAGGCCGAAGAATGTTGGTGCATGGGAGAACCAGAGTAAGGCTACTTGTGTGTTACTGTGAGGGTGATGTAGGTCAGCAGTGATGGTAGGTCAGCAGGATGGTAGGTCACAGTGATGGTAGGTCAGCAGTGATGGTAGGTCAGCAGTGATGGAGGTCAAGCAGTGATGGTAGTAAGTAGGGTCAGCAGTGATGGAGGTCAGCAGTGATGGTAGGTCAGTGATGGTAGGTCAGCAGTGATGGAGGTCAGCAGTGATGGTAGGTAGCAGTGATGGAGGTCAGCAGGATGGTGTAGCAGGTGATGGTATCAACAGTGATGGTAGGTCAGCAGGATGGTGGTAGTGATGGTAGGTCAACAGTGATGTAGGTCAGCAGTGATGGTAGGTCAGCAGTGATGGTAGGTCAGCAGTGATGGTCAGCAGGATGGTAGGTGTGATGTCAGGATGGTAGGTCAGCAGTGATGGTATCGGCGTGATGGTAGGCAGCGTGATGTAGGTCAGCAGTGATGGTAGGTCAACAGTGATGGTAGGTCAGCAGTGATGGTAGGTCAGCAGTGATGGTAGGTCAACAGTGGGTAGGCGCAGTGATGGAGGTCAGCAGTGATGGTAGGCAGCGTGATGGTAGGTCAGCAGTGATGGTAGGTCAAATGGAGGTCAGCAGTGATGGTAGGTCAGCAGTGATGGTGGGCAGTGATGGTAGGTCAACAGTGATGGTCAGCAGTGATGGTAGGTCAACAGTGATGGTAGGTCAGCAGTGATGGTAGGTGCAGTGATGGTAGGTCAACAGTGAGGGTCAGTGATGGTGGGTCAGCAGTGAAGGCAGGCACAGTGTGTAGTCAACAGTGATGGTAGGTCAGCAGTATGGTGCAGCAGATGGTAGGTCAGCAGTGATGGTAGGTCAGCAGTGATGGTAGGTCAGCAGTGATGGTAAGCAGTGATGGTAGGTCAGCAGTGATGGTAGGTAGTAGTGATGGTATCACGTGATGGTAGGTCAACAGTGATAGGTCAGCAGTGATGGTAGGTCAGCAGTGATGGTAGGTGCAGTGATGGTAGGTCAACAGGATGGTAGGTCAACAGTGATGGTAGGTCAGCAGTGGAGGTCAGCAGATGGTAGGTCAGCAGTGATGGTAGGTCAAAGTGTGAGGTCAACAGTGCGGATGGTAGGTCAGCAGTGATGGTAGGTCAACAGTGATGGTAGGTCAACAGTGATGGTAGGTAACAGTGATGGTAGGTCAGTAATGTAGGTCAGCAGTGATGGTAGGTCAGCAGTGATGGTAGGTCAGCAGTGATGGTAGGTCACAGTGATGCGAGGAGGGTGGTCAGCAGTGATGGTAGGTCACAGTGATGGTAGGTCAGCAGTGATGGTAGGTCAGCAGTGATGGGTGAGAGGATGCAGTGATGGTAGGTGCAGCAGTAGTGTGGTCAGCAGATGTAGGTCAACAGTGATGGTAGGTCAGTGATAGTATATGATGGTAGGTCAGCAGTGATGGTAGGTCAGCAGTGATGGTAGGTCAGCAGTGATGGTAGGTCAGCAGTGATGGTAGGTCAGCAGGATGGTAGGTCAACAGTGAGTAGGTCACAGGAGGCAGCAGTGATGGTAGGTCAACAGTGATGGTAGGTCAGCAGTGATGAGGTCAGAGGAGGTAGGTCAACAGTATGGTAGGTCAACAGTGATGGTAGGTCAGCAGTGATGGTAGGTCAACAGTGATGGGTAGAGTGGTAGGCACAGTGGTCAGCAGTGGTGCAGCAGTGATGTAGGTCAGCAGTGATGGTAGTCAAGTGATGGTAGGTCAACAGTGATGTAGGTCAACAGTGATGTAGGTCACAGTGATGGTAGGTCAGCAGTGATGGTAGGTCAGCAGTGATGGTAGCAACAGTGATGGTAGGTCAGCAGTGATGGTAGGTCAACAGTGATGGTAGGTCAACAGTGATGTAGGTCAGCAGTGATGGTAGTCAGTGTGGTCAGATGGTAGGTCAACAGTGAGGTCAACAGTGATGGTAGGTCAGCAGTGAGTAGGTCAGCAGTGATGGTAGGTCAGCAGTGATGGTGGCAGCAGTGATGGTAGGTCAGCAGTGATGGCAGGATGGTAGGTCAACAGTGATGGGGTAGAGTGATGGAGGTCAACAGTGATGGTAGGTCAACAGTGATGGTAGGTCACAGTGATGGTAGGTCAACAGTGATGGTAGGTCAGCAGTGGTAGGGATGGTAGGTCAGCAGTGATGGTAGGTCAGCAGTGATGGTAGGTCAGCAGTGATGGTAGGTCAGCAGTGATGGTGTCAACAGTATGGTAGGTCAACAGTGATGGTGGGTAACAGTGATGGTAGGTCAACAGTGATGGTAGGTCAACAGGAGTACAGTGATGGTAGGTCAACAGTGATGGTAGGTCAACAGTGATGGTAGGTCAGCAGTGATGGTAGGTCAACAGTGGTAGGAACAGTGATGTAGGTCACAGTGATGGGGTCAACAGTGTAGGAGGTGATCAGGAGAGGTCAACAGTGATGGTAGGTCAACAATGTGTAGGTGCAGTGATGGTAGGTCAGCAGTGTGGTGCCAACAGTGATGTAGGTCAGAGTGATGTATACAGTGATGGTATGCCAACAGTGATGGTAGGTCAACAATGTGGTAGGTCAGCAGTGATGGTAGGTCAACAGTGATGGTATGCCAACAGTGATGGTAGGTCAGCAGTGATGGTAGGTCAACAGTGATGGTAGGTCAACAGTGATGGTAGGTCAGCAGGAGGAGGCACAGGATAGTAGGTCACAGTGATGAGGTCAGCAGGAGTAGGTCAGCAGGAGGTAGCAACAGTGATGGTAGGTCAGCAGTGATGAGGTCAACAGTGATTGTAGGTCAACAGTGATGGTAGGTCAGCAGATGGTAGTCAACATGATGGTAGGTAGCAGTGATGGTAGGTCAACAGTGATGGTAGGTCAACAATTGTAGGTCAGCAGTGATGGTAGGTCAACAGTGATGGTATGTCAACAGTGATGGTAGGTAACAGTGATGGTAGGTAACAGTGATGGTAGGTCAACAGTGATGGTAGGTAACAGTGATGTAGGTGAACAGTGATGGTAGGTGAACAGTGATGGTAGGTGAACAGTGAGTGGTAGTGAGACAGTGATGGTAGAACAGTGATGGTAGGTCAACAGTGATGGTAGGTCACAGATGGTAGGTCAACAGTGATGGTAGGTCAACAGTGATGGTAGGTCAACAGTGATGTTATGTCAACAGGTATAGTAACAGGATGGTAGGTCAACAGTGATGGAAGGTCAGCAGTGATGTAGGGTGATGGGTAGGTCAACAGTGATGGAAGGTCAGGTGATGGTAGGTCAACAGTGATGGTAGGTCAACAGTGATGGTAGGTCAACAGATGGTAGGTCAACAGTGATGGTATGTCAACAGTGATGGTAGGTCAACAGTGATGGTATGTCAACAGTGATGGTAGGTCAACAGTGATGGTAGGTCAACAGTGATGGTAGGTCAACAGTGATGGTTAGGTCAACTGTCATCGGAAGCTCCATGTTTGAAAGCATTTTTTTTATGAATTAATATTAGTAGAGGCAGGGGCGATAATTATCAGTGATATTTATATAATTACCACTTGCAAATTGACTAAGAATAGTAGTTACAATTATAGGGGCGTTATACAGTAGGTGATATATAGTGGCAGTAATATTATAGGTTATAGTTGATGTACTTATGATGTACTAGTTAGTTATTGCAGTAGTATTAGGTACTTATAGTCAGTAACATTAGTACATATAATTAGTAGTAATGATAGTTAAGATGCCATCCTTAATAGTTAAGCAGATTGTCTTTTACTTTATTTTTTTGCATTACTATTTAACAAAAATATTATAAAATCCCACAACAAGAGAAATCAAAACTTTCTAAAGCAAGAAAGCTATCACTGAAAATATGAATATTTTGTTTTATTTACCCCATAATAATAATATAAATAATAGTAATAACAATACTACTACTACTACTACTACTACTACTACTACTAATAATAATAATAATAATAATAATAATACGCTCCCCTGTCACCCACATTTCAGCTTTTGGATTCCCAGTAAATATCTTTTTCGAATAACGTAAACATATATATATATATATATATATATATATATATATTTTTTTAATTAATGATACGTATAAAATGCTGTAAAAAAATCATATTACAAAAACTAAAAGGCAAAAATCGAAATCCATCACAATTCAAATGCCCTGCCCCCCCACCAAAAAAAAGAGATGCCCTAAGAAGATATATTTCCCGAGTAGAAACAGTTATATATGCCCTTAAATGGATAGAAATGAGGAAGCTAGACACTAAGGGTGGAGACTCACGTATACACAACAACGTGCAACACCATTCGCTAATAATGTCAGGCACGTGTTCACTAATATACATCACTAATTCATTATGACAGGCTATAGCAAGGAATTAACTATAACACAATGTAACAACGACTTCCCTATAGTCCACTACGACAAGCTGTAACAACGAGTTCGCTATAGTACACTGTAACAATGTGTTTACTATGACAAGCTGTAACAACGAGTTCACTGTAACAATGTGTTTACTATGACAAGCTGTAACAACGAGTTCACTGTAACAATGTGTTTACTATGACAAGCTGTAACAACGAGTTTACTAAGACAAGCTATAACACTGTAACAGCAAGCTTTCCACTGAGTTGCTAATTTGCTTACCAAATATGTAGATACAGGAATACCCGTTAGTATATTTTATATGTATATGATACACATATATGTATTTTATATGATGCTCACATGATGACTATTGTCATCATGTGCAACTAATTCACGAACTTCTAAAACCTTTATAACGAAATACAGTAGCTTTCTGTAGCCCATAAAACATAATACATTAGCGTTTTATATTCTACAGTATACAACATAAAATAGCAACATTCTGGAATCTATACACATAATACAGGAGCACCACGACGCACAGTACAACACACTGAACAGTATATATGTATAAATTCAGTAAATTACTATATTCATTCCAGAACAATATTCATTTTACAGTATTTCATCTCAAACAACACATCAACTGCTGTATCATCTCTACAGCACATGTGACACAATAGTGTATGTAATATGACCCATATATATATATATATATATATATATATATATATATATATATATATATATATATATATATATATATATATATATATATATATATATATATATATATATATATATATATATCAATTCACCATCATATGAATATCACGTACAACATCCACCAACATGATCATACACCATCAAGTCTTCATCACACACAAGCATATAATTATCATCGTATCTACAATACATGCATACAACATACCCACAAAGCATACGACATACACCATTACATCTACAAGGCATACAAACATTCAACATCATATCTGCAATTCATACAATTGGCGTCATTATATCTATGACAAGTATAACATACACCACTATATCTACAAAGCATACAAACATATTCTATCATATCTACAGCGCATACAACATACACCATCTTATCTACAAAACATAGGACAAAGTTCATTATGTATATACAGCACACACAAACATACTATAACAGGTGTGTCGGTAGTCACATGGGGAACATTCTCAATATACAAGACACTACTAACTTAAACTAGCTCTCAGGCTGTGTTTTTCTCCATAACACAAGAACACAAATAAAACGACTGACAACCCCTGTTAAGTGACGCCAGGTAGGACTGCAGCCTATTAAAACTGGGGTTCATTAATAATAATACTAATTGCTTAACATCAACTGTAAAAGCAAAAGTGAAGCCTCATGGATGTGAATATTGTTTTGGGCAACTCACCACCATGGCCAGAGACCATCACCCATAAATCTGTATAAACGTATAGCCAGACGAGGGATACATGCTAATCAAGCGATCTCAGAGTGAGAGGAAGTCTACGGACATTGCATGCCACGTTTCACTTACTCTTAAATTTTATCATATTAATAATGACCCCTTGCATATGGCCTTTAGTAATGAGTCATTAAAACCTGTCAGTACCATTATAAATAAAGTTTTGAGTGTTAATGAGGAATGGCTAAGTAAACTAAATTAGTTATAATATGAAAACAAAAACACAAGGTGGTATTTGTCCGTGGCCACTGATGAAGACTCTCAAAGATAGACCAATCAACAGTATTCTAGCAATCCGAAAGCAGCATGCTGAATATCTGTGAGTGTTTGACACTTATTTTCATTTGTGAAATACGTAGTGATCATTACACACCTCTTGCATCATATGACAAGTTTTCTGAGTTTTAAAACATCGGTGTCCAGGATTAAAACACGGGAGTTCACTGATTTACAGTTTTCGTGCGCGAGGGAAATTTTTCAACTGCAACTTTACACAGCTAATAACCAATTCTTTAACACCTTTGCATTCACCTCAGCAAACATATTTTATGACGCAGGTGAAGTAGTGTGACCAACTAGGAAGTCCAATTATGACCCTAAGTGTCAGACGACCCGGGATTCGCACACGGTGCTTTACAACAACACATAATGATGTGCCACTCAACTTATAACGGAAATTCTCTATAACTGACACTTCCTGTGGTCAGACGGTCTAATAACACACAGGTTCCAGATTCTTAAATTTCGTACGGTGAGTTTTTCTCGAAAGTGGAAAGTTATGAACTTGTTGATTTAAACAAGATTAACACTAGAAAACCAATCAAAATCAGCGAAAATTTTCCTTAATTCGTTACATTTGACGTAACTTCAAATAAATTTGTAATAAAAATATGTTCTAAAAGATTCGCTCATTCATTCTTTCTCCATACTACTATTAATTATGTGTATGTAGTAATGGTAGAGCGTCAGTGCAAATTCTATGATAATTTATTCCATTGCTTTATCTTATATTAAACAGTTGTAATATTCATAGACAGTTACGAGGAGTTGGAGAATCTGGACCCAGGTGGTGTACTACCTGTCTCAATACTCTCGTTCTCACACTGTCTGTGTGTTGTGATCTTAACTCACACCACGGGTTATAGTCCCTGTTATATAATAATATAGTCTGGCCTTATCAACTTCTAGTGTTATGTCATGTGGTTGTGACACAATATTGTAAAACAATACAAAATGTGAATTTCCGCGTGTGCATTTCGTTAGAGTTTTAGCATATGGTATGGTCCTCTGTGTTAAGGTTCACTGTTCGATCTTATCATATTATGGTGAAATATTATGTGCTTACGAGAAGAAAAATGGACGACATGAAAACAGAAGGTAAAAATCTGTGAGGGGCAACGCTGAGAGAGTCGCAACATATCTTAATGTGTCACAAGATTAAAGCAGTTGAGGAAAATATATTGTTGGTTACAAGTTCTCTAATTTAAAGAGAAGAATGTGGTTTAAGATTTTAAAGTTTGTTGCCTGGTGTAGAAACTATGATTTAGTAAACAGTGCTTCAAGACCGTGGCAGTAAACACACCCAGTTGAGTAAAACATCAATACATAGTCTTATTTTTGACGCCCCCAATAATTGTTTCTCTGCATTTCTGCGGTGGGGAGGGAGAGGTCTTTAGTCTTAGAAAATCAACATAGGGTTATGTATATAAGACAGTCTTCGATTTGCTTAACTGATCCT